TAAGTGTGTATATATATATATATATATATATATATATATATATATATATCTCTCCATAAATGTACAGCATTAATCAAAAGTTTGATATTTTATTTATCATTTAAAAAAAATATATATTTAAATATATAATTTTAATATTTAAATATACAAATTTGCTATTAACTATTACATAACAAATGTTAGAAAGACATGCTATATAAATATTCTTAATATTATAATATTATAGATAAAATTAGTATTACTGATATCCTATAACAGTATTTTGAAATAGCTTTAATTTTATTTTAATTGTAGTTTAATGTTTATTAATTTTGTGTTTTTATTTGTTTCTTGTGTTTATTTCAATTGCTATTAACTATTATATATTAGAAAATAATATTGTTTTTAGAGTTATGTTTTTAATTTAGACAAAACAGCACAGCATTTTAATATAAGTTATTTAATCCGTTTTTAGCCATAACATGAAAATAATTAACAGCTTATCAGCCAGAATATTATATTGTTTTGTCTATTAGATTGTTTTGGGTTTTATTATCGGTGCATCCCTAAAAAGAGAGAACAGAGAGGTTGAACAACTCAACCAATCTTATTTGAAACAGCTTTCCGACACACCTTTTGCTGAACGAACAGAAAAACGCAAAACATTTGGATGGAAACCAAGCAAGTGCTCACTCTTCGGGAAGTTAACCATCAATGAAGTGTTTGCAATGCAATATCAGTGTTAACCACACTGGATCTCAGACATCTGTGGTCTCACCCTCGATGGCGAGTCTGCGGCGAGGCCAGTTCTTGAGCTCCCGCGGCAGCAGCGCTTTCAGACGGATGCTGATGATGTGCTCCTCAAGCGCAAACTCCAGCGTGTAAAAGCGCAGGAGCTCCAGCCACAGCTGGCCCAGAGACGCGCTCACAGGCTCCTCCAGCGTCAGACGAGTCTAGAAACACACACACACACACGTTACTAATAACACTCACCCGAGGGCTTCTTTAATACAGTCAAGAGTAGCAGTGAAGCGCTCGCTCACCTTGCCCTTAGCGTGTTCGGCCTTCTTCTCGGTTTGGGTTTTGGGTTCGGGTTTGGCTTTGCCGTCCCCGCCTGCAGGAGCGGGCCTGTGCTCCCAACCCACGAACGAGTCCGACTCCATCCCCATCAGGTGAAACTCATCCACGCGCTTCTCGTCAAAGCCCTTTATCTGAGCAGACATAAAAGAAGAATAGAGATATTTATTTAGATCAGGGGTTTTCAATCTTATAGATACGACTAGTGGTCGACCGATATATCGGCCGATATTTGGCATTTTTCAAATATCTGCATCGGCCGATAAGTTTTTCTGTTTGGCCAATGTGTTCGAGGCGGGACTTTTATTTTGACGGCGCCGAGAACGGCAGCACATGCGTACACCGCTCTCACATTCTCCCTCTTGTTTGCTGTCGTCGTTCAGTTCTGTCTAATATGGATAGAAGTCTATCTAATAATCAGATAGAACTGTTAAACAAAGGAATTAAAATGTATACAAAAAAGTATTATAACGATTGCTTTAATATTATTAGTAATAGAAAGGCAAACATTATAATACTTTCTCATTTGCCGTCAGCATTCAGCAAATACGCATTTACATCATTTAAACAAATCTTTGAATGACTAATGAACATTTAATTTCACAAACCTTGCAGACTTAGTCGAATCTAGTTAAGATCTTGTGAAGTGTGCATTTGTATCCTGCATGATCGCGTGTTCTCTGGGTGACGGTCAGTCCGTGCAAATTGAATGATGACAGGAGGAGAGTTCAGCTTCACTGGAGATCGACAAACTTTAAACTAGTGATTTCAAATTATGCTGCGCTTTATGCATTTGCCCACTGTCATATTCATGTCATTTTCATTGCGTGCTGTATTGTAAAATGAGTGTTACCTTGGCTTTATTTGAAAAAAAAATAAATAAATAAAATGCACACAAACTTCCCTGAATACTGAGTGCCCTGTAGGTTACAGTGTTTACTTCCTTTTTAATTAGATTTTTATTAAATATTTATTTGTGAAAAATGCTTTGTCTTCTAAAGTATAAGTACGTTTATTTTACACAATTATTTTTAATCCATTTTCAAATGATTAAAATTTTTTTTTAAATATAAACGAAAATAAATGAAATTATATCGGCTTTATATCGGCCACCCTGCTTTCCAAGATATCGGCATCGGCTGTCAAAAAACCTATAACGGTCGACCACTAGATACGACGAAGCCCCAAATATGATTATCCTCATGTGAGGGGCCCCATCCTAAAACTGAAAAGATTACATATATATTTGAATAGAAAAATGTTATATATTTTAATGTATAAAGCCCAAATTCTTACAAAGAAAAATTTATATTACAAATACACACATACTGGTAAAAAATGTATAGCCTGAATGCACTGTAAGTCACTTTGGATAAAAGAGTCTGCTAAATGCATAAATAATTTTTATTATTTATTTTAAATTATAAATACACAAAATATTAAATTGAAAATACTAGGGATGCTCTGATCGATCGGCCAGAGATCGGTATCGGCCGATAATCAGACTCGATCGGTAGTCACTATTTGGCCGATCTCACGAACCGATCGCAATTTGATGACGTCAACGCCTGACCACGTATATGATGCGTGGGGACGTAAATGATTTTAAGCCACAGTCATGTCATCGCCGGTGTGGATATGCTATGACGTTTCGAGAAACAATGAAAAATTTGTTATTTGTCGTGCATGTTTTGCATGATGATGAATGGATGGTTCATTTTTAACAGCAGATTCAGTGACGTTAGAGCTGATCTGTGCCTCACTGCACACGTCTGCGGCACGTTACGGCTCCACGGGAACGGAGCTGATCGCAGCCGCTCTAGTCAGTGCTTGTGTTTATACTGCAGCCGCGGCATGTTTCTGAAGCGGCTCTCCGCACTGCTTGGCTAAAAAGCAGTGTGAAAAAAACTCTTTTGTGAGTTGGCACAGCATGGAGGACGGAACAAAACCTCGTCTGAGCCGTATCGCTGATCGTGGGCTGCTTTTAAATGAACATTTATTTATAAAACAAAGTATCTTCTTTGGCCATATTAGCCTACTCAATAGCATTAACACAGGCTTTACTCCTTTCAAACTTTATGTGGAATGTCACCGTTTCTGTCACTGCCACTTCTCGATCAGGCGAACGAACACACACACACGTAAAATTGTCTGCCTCATGAAAAAAAAATGTAGTTAATATTTGCATCATTTATGATTTATTTTATCCACCCGCAAATAATCAGAATGCATTTTAAAGCGGGAGAAACAGAGGTTTCCGCGGTAACAGCTTTACACAAAGCAGCGCTGAGCTCACAAGCTCTGCTTTATCAGGCATATAACATGAAAGATGAAATGAATATGACATCGAAAATTTTCCAAAGATAGTCTTCCTTCAGAAATACAGTGAAATAAAAACACCCGTGCCTCGTTTTGATTTTTAAATGTGCAGTACGTGCTCATGTTTATTCAACAAAGCCTTTTGGAAAATCGGTCAGTTTTGATATTGTGGCGAGCGCCACAAATAAATAAATGTATGGGAAACACATCCCACAGCACAACCACCTGAGCCCAACTTCAGTCTACTCATCGCCTTAACTTTAACTGCGTTTGTAGCCGGTGCCATAGCCAGACTGATAAACAAACACAGACCGGAAGTTAACTTCAGGCTGGGCCAGGCGCGTGCGCCCGATGAAACCGTCTATATAAAGCTTGAAGCATCAGAATCGGCATCGGTATCGGCCGATCACCATGACAAGAAATCGGTACTCGGTATCGGCTGCAAAAATCCTGATCGGAGCATCCCTAGAAAATACTAATTAATCAATTTACGCTTTATTTAAAAAAAATACTACTATAAATATGCAAAATTATTATTTGGAAAATTCTTAATTCTTAAAATGAATTTATCCTGTGAAAATTTAATAATATGAATATGCGTAAAATGGTATTTGGAATATTATGTTACATCATTAAATTTTTTTCACCTTTTACAAAAGCACCGTGCTGTTAGATTTGCTGATTTTTTTATCAATTTATTCTGCGAAAAATGTTTATAAATATGCGTAAAATATTACTTGGAAAAATTTTTGTTTCTATTATGTTACACTATTACGTTTTTCTCTCAGTCACTGTTAGATGCATTATTTGTTAAATCAATTTATACTGTGAAAAATTATTATTGTAAATATGCGTAAATTATTACTTGGAAAATATTTAGTTTATAATCTAGCAATTATTGTTTTTTTCCCCACTCACTGTAGTACTGTGCTGTTAGGTGTTTCCAAACAATTTTTAATCAATTTATAATGTGAAAATGTATTATTAAGCAGTAACTAAATCAGCATACTATCATCTCAAAAACATTGCAAGAATTAGATGTTTTGTTTCCAGTCAAGACTTGGAGAAACTTGTTCATGCCTTTATCACCAGCAGGGTGGACTATTGTAATGGTCTCCTCACCGGCCTTCCCAAGAAGACCATTAGACAGCTGCAGTTCATCCAGAACGCTGCTGCCAGAATTCTGACTAGAACCAGAAAATCTGAGCATATTACACCAGTCCTCAGGTCCTTACACTGGCTTCCAGTTATATTTAGGATTGATTTTAAAGTACTTTTACTCGTTTATAAATCACTCAATGGCCTAGGACCTAAATATATTGCAGATATGTTCACTGATTATAAACAGACCACTCAGATCATTAGGATCGAGTCAGTTAGAAATACCAAGGGTTCACACAAAACAAGGGGAGTCTGCTTTTAGTTATTATGCCGCCCGCAGTTGGAATCAGCTTCCAGAAGAGATCAGATGTGCTAAAACATTAGTCACATTTAAATCTAGACTCAAAACTTCTGTTTAGCTGTGCATTTATTGAATGAGCACTTGACGATGTCCGAACTGATTGCACTGTATTTTATGTATGTATAATCATTTTCTATTTTTAACTGTCTTAAATTCATTTTAAATCAAGTTTTAAAACATTTTCAAAGTTTTTAACTTACTTGTTTTTTTTTTTGTGATTTTTTTTAAATGATTATTTTACTTTCTTTTATGTAAAGCACTTTGAATTACCATTGTGTTACACCTCGGTGAGGATGGTTACTGTAATGTCTGGAAAATGTGACAGCGAGTCATACATACATTGGCCCAGTGACGGAAGGCCAGAACCAAAGGCACGAGCCTCGGCTCCAGTCTGGCCAGAGCTGCAAGGTGATTGGTGGTGAGGTACGCGACATCATTTCCTGCGCTCACTTTGCACATTAACCCACTGCAGAGACAACAAACAACTCCTATCAGCTATGACGGGCTATTACTGATGTCTTCAAATGTATTTATCGTGCAGCCCTATTACAAACCTTCCGATCTAAAGTCTTAAATCACTGAAATGAGTGTTGTAGACTCATATAAGCAAAAATATTAGCAAATAAAACTTTACATTTATAAATTTCTTGTTTTAAATGAGTTGGACTCATAGAAACTTTTTACTACTGTTTTTCTATATTTATTTTATATTTAGTAATATTTTAAATTTTAGTTATCTTTCCCATATTTTTTGTGTCAAAGTTTATATATGAATATTTTATATACAAAATATTAAAAGGTAAAATGTATACCATTTTTAAATAATATTTTATACTGTTTTATATATTTAGTAATTGTACTTTTTTGTTATTTTTCCCTTTCAGTTTTTTTTTGCTATTTTTAAGTTACATACGCATTTATAATATAAAAATATTTCATAAAATATTTTTTTTAATTTATTTATATAAATAATATTAAAATGTACAATGTATAAAATGTAAATAATATTAAACAATAATAATGTTAAATAATACGAAATGTGCTATATAAATAAACTTGCCTTGCCTTGCCTATTATAAACATGCATAAAATATTATTTGAAAAATATATAGCCTATATTATCTTGCAATTATTATGTGTTTTTTTCAACTCTCTATAGTACTGTGCTGTTAGATGTATTATTTGTCTATTTAAATCAGTTCCTTGAATCAATTTATTCTGAAAATAATTATCATTATAAATGTATATTATTTGAATATTTAGTTTCTATTATCTTACAATGATGTTCTTTCCCCAACTCGCTATAATACTGCGCTGTTAGATGTATCATTTAAATCCATTTTTAAAAACAATTTATTCAGTAAATAATTATTATTTAAATACATTTTCTAATTGATTTGTACTGTGAAAAATGTATATAAAAAATTTAATGAATAGATAATACATTTAACAGCACAGTACTACAATGAATGAAAAAAAAACATAATAGAAAGTAAATGTTTCCCAAGTAATATTTAAAAAAAAAAAATTTATATTTTACTCAACTAAATTACTAATGAAAATGCTTGTTGACAAAGGGTTTTGATGAGTAGCAAATATCCAGGTGAAAGTTAAATGTGCACCTTATGTGTGAATATGCTGTTGCCATGATAACATAATACTACACATAATATTCTAAACAGCCTCTGGAACAGAAAACAGTAGGTTTTTAAAATCAATATATTGATTATATGCTATTTAGGAGCTATCCATTTGAGGTTCAACAGAACATGAGTTCATACCCAGTTTCCTAGATAAACGGGCAGGATGGGCTTGGCTCTCTGTTGCAGGAAGAATATGACCATCAGAGACAGCGAGTAGGACGGGATTCCTCCCTCCGCCTGACAGTCGATGTGGCACAGCTACAGATAAACACACAATCGTGTTACACCTCGGTGAGGATGGTTACTGTAATGTCTGGAAAATGTGACAGCGAGTCATACATACATTGGCCCAGTGACGGAAGGCCAGAACCAAAGGCACGAGCCTCGGCTCCAGTCTGGCCAGAGCTGCAAGGTGATTGGTGGTGAGGTACGCGACATCATTTCCTGCGCTCACTTTGCACATTAACCCACTGCAGAGACAACAAACAACTCCTATCAGCTATGACGGGCTATTACTGATGTCTTCAAATGTTTATTCTCTGTGTGCAATGACTATTTACAGAAGCGTTTTATTGCCGACATTAAACTGACCTGGCCACATCTCTGCAGAAAACAACAGGGACTTTGGCATGAAAATCTGACTCCACCTCAGCAAACTCCACTGGAAACAAAAGCGAAACTCCAGTTAATCTGAGCTCTCCAAACTCAAGTCGGGTGCATTTATCAACTTTCAGCTGTTAGAGCTGGAAAACAGTCCAGTGAAGCATATTTACAGTGGGTACGGAAAGTATTCAGACCCCCTTAAATTTTTCACTCTTTGTTATATTGCAGCCATTTGCTAAAATCATTGAAGTTAATTTTTTTTCCTCATTAATGTACACACAGCACCCCATATTGACAGAAAAACACAGAATTGTTGACATTTTAGCAGATTTATTAAAAAAGAAAAACTGAAATATCACATGGTCCTAAGTATTCAGACCCTTTGCTCAGTATTTAGTAGAAGCACCCTTTTGATCTAATACAGCCATGAGTCTTTTTGGGAAAGATGCAACAAGTTTTTCACACCTGGATTTGGGGATCCTCTGCCATTCCTCCTTGCAGATCCTCTCCAGTTCTGTCAGGTTGGATGGTAAACGTTGGTGGACAGCCATTTTTAGGTCTCTCCAGAGATGCTCAATTGGGTTTAAGTCAGGGCTCTGGCTGGGCCATTCAAGAACAGTCTGTGTGTGTGTGTGTGTATGTATATATATATTTTTAATTAAAATATAAATATAAAATACATATTAAGTAATATTTTTACAAGATAATATAAATATAATAAACTGTATTATTGTTTTATTTTATTATTATTTATTAGTCAAAAGTTTGTCCAACTCATTTTAAACAATAAATATTTAAATGTAATATTGTATTTGCTATAAATATAACAGATTTTTTTTTTTCATTTATATTAAGTTTTCCATGACTTTTTAAAGTGCATTAGTTGCCAAGACTATGGGAGTCACTGTCAATATATCAAATTAATTTGATTAATTAATCGGCATAAGTAATTAACTCAAAAATGTATTTTGACAACCCTCATTTTTAATGAAAACCTGTTTAGCATTACATTTGATATCAATTCATCATTAGGAAGCAAAAACATTTGAGTTGTATTTTTTTCAGACAACAACAAACTGATTGACCAGTCCATTTAAACATAGTGTAGGATTATAAAGGTTTGTGGTTGAATTAAAGTGAAACTTACCGCTGTTCTTGAGGATCTCCAGCACCTGGATCAGCACATCAGGCTGAGTCATCTGCACAACACAAACGAGTTAATAACAACACAGTAAAACTCACTGACATGTATCCACAGAAGCAGCTGGTGAACGTCTGCTCAGACTCACAGAGGAGGGATAAGAGACGTCGATGTTGACGTCACTCGTTTTGAAGGCGAAGCGGGTGAGACAGGAGCCGTACAGACGGAGAGAGCACGCTAAGAAAGGATGAGTGAAGAATTTAAACATTCAGCAGACCGGAAGAGACTCTTTTCTTGACTTTCTTTCACTTTTTCATTTTTACATTAAGTTTACTTACGTTTAGTGCAAGCTTTTACCCAAGCAGTGTACCTGTGAGTTGTTTGAGTATAATCCCCTCCATCCTGAGCACCACGGCTTGCCTCAGCGCGAAGTCTTCCTCTGAGATGCCATGCACCTCTGCCGCTTCCAGCACGGCCGAGTCTAGCACTCTCAACTGGGCCGGAGAGGGACCCGGCAGCGCTCGCAACTCATTCTCCTCCTGCTTCTCCTGCAAACGTACATAAACAAGAAAAAACAAAAAAACAATAGAAATGAATCAAATCCAATATTTAGCTATAACATCTTTCCTGAGAGGGTTTTAGCATGCTAACAGTGACATGCAGCATTCTTTAGCAAGCCTGATAACATAATTTATATAATTTCCAACATTTTTTGTGGGTAGAACATTACAGCATTTCAGCGGTTTGGTTCAGAGTTATTATAGTTAAATAAACTAAAACCATAAAAACATTACCTGAAATAAAATAACATATTTTTAAAAAACTACCAAAAAACACACATTTTGCCAGAGCAACATTTCTCATTTTCATTTAGTTTAACTTGATGTACTAAATAAATATAACTAAACTGAAATAAAATAATACAAACTATATAGACATAATAAAAAAAAATGTCAATCAAAATGTCAAAAGGCAAAAATATAACTAAATTACTAAAACATCAACAAAAATTAAAATGAAAGGAAAAAACTAAATATTAATAAAAACTGCAATAGTATCTCAATAAAATATTCAAAATACTAAAATAACACTGGCTGGATTCCTAAAACCCCAGTGTGAATGTAATGTGGACTGAGACACTATCACAACTTAAAAAAAGGTTTGAGTCTACAAGATCAAACACAAAATATTTAATCTTTTTTAGTTAATCTATTTATATGCATGTCATGTGACCATTAATCAACCGCTGAGAACATGCGAATGTATCAATAAATGACTGAAATACTAATTAAAATATCAGAGGACACTTCATGTAGATATCGGCTGACATAAAAGTTTGGCAACAGAAACTAGCACAGAAAAACCTACTCTAAGCTTAAAGTCACTGTGGATTTTATAGACCACAGAAAAACCAGCACAGAAGGAAGTCCTCACCATGATGTTCTTCTTGTGACGTTTCTCTTTAATGTGCTTGTGAGCACCCTGGATGTTCTCCACGTGGACTGAACACAGTTTGCATAGATACTGGAAATTCGGGTACTCCGGTGACGGCTGTGGAAATACACAACAACAGAGAAAGCAATCACTAGGGCTGTGTTTGATAGATCGATACGACGATGTATCGTCACATATTACTTGATGACAGCAGTGGACCGCGCTTAATTTGAATACAAGAACAGCGTTTAAATTAGGCTTGCCGCGATAGACGGTGTTGACGGTGATACCAGTGTTAAGCCGCAACACCGGTTACGTGACTTGCCCAACGCGTCACCGACCCCCACCGTCGTTTTGATTTTTTATAGTAATAAAAATCATTTAGTTCAGTAATAGAACAGACACTACAATTAAAAACTGAACTGGAGTGGAAAAGTGCAAGGTTTCTACAAAATAATGAAGAGTATAATATATAGGCTACAACAAGGTTTAATCTGGCCGCAGAGGAACACATATAAGGAAAACACATGCCTGATATAAAAAGACGTAATCCCCGAAACAGTACTTCACACTTGCGCAATACAGAAATATCTGCCAAGTGTGTTACTTATTTTTGTCAACCTGGCAGCCATGTGCACGCGCTCTCTCTCCACTGTGGATAAAAGCGCTGGCTTTCTGAAAACACTGGTAAGCTTGCAACGATTTTTTCTGTAAATGTGACCGATTTTTGCAGATTGTGGAGAGCATGACGTGCTAACGGGAGAAATCACGGGGCACTCAATGACTCGGATTTGATTAACGAGGCACTTTTCACCGTCATTCAAAAGCCAAATCAGCTAGTGAGTGTGAAAACATGCGGTCACACTTATATTGATATTCGGGACAGTTAGATCAGCATTTGAGTTAAACTAGTCAGCGAAAGTTAAAGCAAATATGAACTAAAGAGACTCATATTTGTTTGGCACAAAATTCATCCTAAACAGCAGTAAAAATGTAAAATAAAAAATAAAAAATAAAAATAAAAAAACCTTGAATATAATTAAAGTAATCCTGTAAAATTAAATAATATATAAAATACAAATAAATAAATATAACCATAAATAATGCCACAAAAAAAACACAAATAAATCCTGAGATAAATAAATAAACAAATAAATAAATATATAAACTACAAATAAATAAAAAGACAAATAAATTAATAAATAAAACTTAATTAAATAAAACCATAGACAGATAAACAAATAATAAAACCACAATTAAATCAGAAAAAAACATGAATAAAATCATAGATAAATAAATAAAAGCATACATAATTAAAACTGTATATAAAAAATAAAAAAACAAACCAGTAAATAAAACCATAAATAGGTAAATAAAAAAACTAATAATAAAACCACAAAAAAATAAAAGCATACTTAAATATTTATTTACTGTTGTATTTATGTAAGTAAATAAATAAATACTTTTTTAACGTGAAAGTTTCCAGGGTCATTTGTTCATGACAGGAGTTAACTGTACAATAAAACAAAACAAAAAATATAACCACAAATAAATAAATAAAACCATAGATCAATAAAAGCATACATAAACAAAATAGTAAATAAATAAATGCATACATACTTTTTTAACGTGAAAGTTACCAGCTTCATTACAATTCACAGCAGTTATCTGTACACTGACAGGGCAAACAAATTATTCTGTATAACACATATAATGTTCAAGTCTTGTTGCTACACCTTTAAAACACTTCAGTATCCATGACCTTTACATTACAAAACCTGATAAGTAGGGTTGAACTAGTCAAAATGATCTTCTGTGGCAATCTACATTATCAATCTACATACATCTACACTGTGAACAAACAAGTATAACAGTACTAGTTCCTGATTAAATATCCATGCAGTGTTTGTGTGCAGGACGTGTCTTACCTTGAGCAGCCGGTGGATGTAGTCCTTCTGCAGTCTCTCCTCTGCCTGTTTGAGTCCCAGCTGCTG